AGAAAGTTTCTTCCTGGGGTACCTATTGATTTTAGAACATTCTGAGAAAGAGGGTGGGCCTAAAAAGTCACTATATCTAGGATAGAAATCTGCCAGGAGTAGGACACGAGGTGGAGGGGAGCATGAGCCAGGGGCACTGCAGGTCTGTGATCTTGGTTCCTGTCACTACCATTGGAGAGATATGACTGTTCCATTATTTCCCATCAACCCAGGCATTTTCCTGGTGTCCTGTTTCTAAACACAGCCACACGTGAACCACTGCACCATAAAAGCAGGATGGAATAGTCTGGAAAGGACAGAGATACAGAAATAGACTCTTCCACTGAGTGTAGCTGCTGTGTGCACCAGAGCTGAGTATGGATAGTGACATCCAGCCCCGTGGCTGGGCAGAGGAAACAAATGACAGGGATGTTATGTTTGAGGGGTAGCTTTGGTGTATATGTGTAATCAGGCATAATGTATATATTATGTCACTTAATGCTCTCGACAACCCTAGAAGGTGGGTGGGTGTGGCCATAAAAGCGAATCTTAAAGGAGCGACTGGAGGATATTCAGGCCATGGCACAACTATATACCAGGTAAATGGGCCAGCAGGTAGCAGAGCCCCACCGGCCACTGAGAAGGTCCCAGAAGATAGGACTCCCAACACTGGGGATGATCCAACAAGAACAGACCAAGGCTCTCATCCTAAAGAAACAAATCTACCAAAATGTATTTTGAGGACTGGGTTTGGCCATAGAAATACATAAGAAAGACATTACTAGAGTTCAGGTATGATGCATTCAGGGAGAGGTCCTGGAGCTCCTGATCTATAGGATGATTGTGTAAATCTAAATTACAACCCAGGAATGGGGGTGTTACAATAACTATCCTAGGACAGCAGAATAAACCAGGAATGTCCTTGGAAAATGGGACATGTGGTCACTACAAGAATCCATCAGCTGGTCCTAGTGAATCCACAGGTGGAATTCAAGCAAACACGGCTGAGAAAAGGAGAGAATGCCAAGGTTGAACACTAAAAGAAATTCGACTTAGGAGAGACAGTTTTCCCTTTTATTCCTTTGGTTTTAATATTTGAAGAGATGGTGTAAAAGTGATGGTGTAAAAAGTGATGCCAGCTAGCATACGTTTTATTTTTTTTTTTGCTCTTAATGCACAGCCAGAGGCTACCATGAGTGTTCCAGCAACAGCAATGAGACAGGAGAACTCTCATGGAAAGTCATTCCAGAAGACTGAAGAGCAAGAGGGCAAATTTCCTTTAGCAGTAGGGTCAGCAGCAAGATGGATGCTAGTCCTAGTGAGTGAAATTCAGCTTCAGAAATGGCCAAACCACAGTGCTGTTGCAAGACATGGCCATGGAGACAAAGCCAAAGGTCATGGCCTTTGGTGCATTTAAGTTGTAGAGATGTGAAAGAAAAGGAAATCAGATGTTTATCACCAGACAGAATGATTACTACATCACACAAAAGGACTTTAATTATTAGTAGATTCACTTTCTAAGAGAAAGGTCTCTATGGGAAATGTTCCCCAATCCCAAACATTGTAATCAAAGAAGAGGTGGACCACAGTCTCCAAATGCTGCCATCTTGTCTTCAGGTAGACAGTCTGATTTGAAGATTTTATTTATTTGAAAGAGAGATAGAGAGTGAGAGAGAGAGCACAAGCAGGGGAGAGGGAGAAGCAGGCTCCCTGCCAATGGGCTCCCCCGCCAGGGAGCCCAATGTGGGGCTCGATCCCAGGACCCTGAGATCATGACCAGAGTCAAAGGCAGATGCTTAAATGACTGAGCCACCCAGGAGCTCCCAAAGATCTTTTAAAAAAGACTTTTGGAGCAGTTTGACACTCCAGCATCCACGCTGCAGTACTGTTCCAGAGATTCAAGATGTGGACTTTGCTTACTAACCTGGCACTGGGGAGACACGTTCGTTATGAAGACATTCAGGACAATCTCTATAGCAGTACGTTTGGAGGGAAGAAGATGTTGAACGCAGTACAATGAGGCCTTGTGCCCTCTTTGGCATTTCAGCGTACTTCAGGCTTGTGAAATCCCTCCACCCTCTCTCTGTACAAAGCTTCTCTTTAAAGTTTACACTGGCAGGGATTTGGAGGATTAAAAATCCCATATCTAAGTACCGTGGGTCAGTCAGGCCTTAAGTTAATGAACCTCATGCTCTTAAGCAGAGTTTGACTGCCATGGTCAAGCAAGAACCGTCAGAGTGAGGTGAAAGGAAACATCCAAGAGTTTCTTCGGTCCACAAGCAATTCTAGCTCTCCCTGCAAATTCATAAGTCTTTTTCTCTCTTTTCTTCTCCTTTTTTTTTTTCTTTTCCTAACATTTTCCCCCTAACACCGTGTATATTTACTTATACTTTATTGTTCGTTATCATTATCCACAAGGTCAGGATTCCGTTTTATACATTTCTATATTCCCAGAGCTTGGTACATAACAGCTGTTCAGCAACATTTGTTGAATGAATGAATGAATGAATGAGTGAGTGATGGAAGACTCCCTCATCATAAAGATATGAATCATTCATTCCAGTTTGCCCTTCAGATGGAAAGTAACCTATTGAGGGAAGGAATTCTCGAAGGAGAGCAATTCTTTTGAAAGAAAGGAATTTGAAGGAATATGCTGAAGCCATATAAGGAAATTCAGCATGGAGCTAAGAAATAAGAATGGGCAAATTCACATGCATTTTTTGCCATGTAAAATGAAAAAAGCCAGGCTAACATCCAAAATCAAACTATAAAAAATGTCATATTTCTGGGGCACCCGGGTGGCTCAGTTGGTTGAGCGTCCAACTTTTGATCTCTGTTCAGGTCTTGATCTCAGGGCCATGAGTTCAAGCCCTGCATTCAAAAAAAAAAAGTCCTATTTCTCAAATTTCTAAACCTCATCAGACCTTTGAGTTTTGCTCTACATTTTTCTCTTTATAGGAATCATCCCTCAAACAAACAAACCAAAAGGGTTCACTGACAAGAAAAGTAGAAAGACAACAGTAAGTGATGGATACCCTGTTGTGAATCAAAGGAAAAATCCTAAGAAATAGGGGGAAAGAAGGGTTTTGGAAGAGAGGAGAAAAGCATACTAAAAGTGCACCGTGGCTCTAAGAAGGAAGGCAAAAACCCCAGGAACTTCTGGAAGTAGCAACTTCCATACACAGGCCAGCTCACAGATACCATTGAGACAGGAGGCAGACACTGAGACTGTCCAGGTCTGCAGCTGGAACAAAAAAGCCTCCCAACTATGACCAAGAAAGTGGCACCACCACCCTCTTCTCTGTCTCTTATCATCCCACAAACCACTCAGTTGCTTAATCTGCACTGGTGTTTAAACTTCAGCGAGGGATGCTGGGTGGCTCAGTCAGTTGAGTGTCTGCCTTTGGCTCAGGTCCTAATCCCAGGGTCCTGGGATGGAGCCCCATGTTGGGCTCTCCACGCGGCAGAGAGCCTGCTTCTCCTTCTCCCTCTGCCCCTCCCCATGCTTGTGCTTATTCTCTCTCTCAAATAAATAAATAATTACCTTAAAAAAAATAAACTTCAATGAGAGTCTCAAATCAGGTTTTTCTTTCCAGTCCCTACACCATTTACCCTCATTCAAAGCCTCACCATTTTCCCATAGGAATGTAATGACTACCTTGTTACTCTGCCTCCTATCTTTTCCTAGTCCCTAGGGAAAATCTGACCATCCTGCTCTCCAGCATAGAACGGGTCAGAGACTCCTCCTCAGTCTATTTGAATGACGTCCACTCACATTATATTTTCAAACCATTCTCTAATGATTGCTTAAATGTTTACAATAAGGCCTTCATGTGATTTCCATAAGTACAGAGACAATGCCTATCTTTTTCACAGCTGAATCCCAAGCAACTAGCACAGTATTTGTGCTCTGTCTTTAATATGTTTTCCACAAATAAATAAAAATGGGAAAATTATGATCTAAAACTATGCAGAATGCATTCCTAATGTTAAATTTATACATTTATATGCAAATACATACATATTACATAAGATACAATATAGATTTCAATATACAATTCATTTATAAATATAAAACATATAAATTATTTCATATATTTTATATTTATATTTTATTTCATATATGTATATATTAAAAATATATTAACATAAAATATATGCACACAGGAAATAGAAAAATATAGTGGAACTTTTTTTTTAATTTATGCTTTTTTTAACTTTCAAATTTTACCAGATAAGCTTTCTTCTCTCTCTCTGAGATAAAAACATAGGCAAAAACAAAAGGGAGCAGAGCAAAAACCATGCCTCTGACAAATCAGATAGCAGTATGGGGCAGAATGGGAAGAATAATCTCCTTATCATGCCACACTGGGTTCTTCATCTTCCCACCTTGATTCTGCCCCATGCCCTGCTACTCCTCGGCCCACCAGAAAAGTGAAAAGTGCCAAACAACATAGTGTTTTTCACAGCTACACTTGCTGCCTACTCTCTAATTCTACTGTTCCTGTATTTCCAGTGTGATAGTTCCACATTCTTGCCACCTTTTCATTTTTAGGGCAAAGCACAATTCCCACATGCAGAAGAACACATTAAATATTGATGGAGTAAATTAATTAATACATGGATAAGGCAGTGACATTGAATGCGAGACCCATTTCTTTCATTGACTCTAAAATCGTACTTACCTAATAGGATTGTGTGAGGACTAAAGGAGAAAATGCATATAAAACATGCCTAACATATAGTAAGTGCTTGATAAACAAACACAGTTATTAACCATTATCACTGAGACCATGTACAAGTTGCTTTTTACTCTCTTAGGCAAATACATCTTAAATTGTGGATAGTAATTTCTGCCCTGCCCACTCATCCCCTTGAGATGAGAAAGAGCTTCAAGCCATTTGGGAACCACAAATCACTAGACAAACACATATTAATATCATGATGATGATGACAATGATTACACGATTATTTTCTTTGTGCATCTTGCCTAATACCTTTCTCCTTTTAGGTCACATTACCTTTGCTGATGTTTCAAACCATCCTACGAAACCGTGCTCCTTGCAGAACTGGTCCATCTTGAGGCCATTGTTCATGAGCATGTCCTTCCCCTGGTCACACTTGTTGGCCAACAAAACCACTGAAACTGGTTTGCCATTAGGGAGACTCAACTTTGAGTCCAAATCATTCTTCCACTTTGTCACTGCTTCAAATGTAGCTGGCCTGGTGACATCGAAGACAATAAATGCACCCATCGCTTCTCGGTAATAGACCCTTGTCATGTTCCCAAATCTTTCTTGACCTATCACCAAAAAGAAACAGAAATCAAAGCCTTATTACAATTGTAAACAGAAGCACATCTTGGAGCCTCAGGAGGCCTCCAGGATGAGCAGACCGCTCAGGAAAGCGCTTCAGTGCCTCACTGTACAGAGTCAGCTCAATACACAGTCGCATACCTTTGTTTTTGATCTTTGAGTCCAGAAGGGATTCAATTATTTAACAAGTATTTTATTTACTAAAACTTCTGTATACCATATAATGTTCTAGAACTGTGCTAGCAGAGCATGCCACTGGCCACACACAGCTACTTAGGTTTAAATTAATTAAAATTAAATTGACTTTAAAATTCATTTCTTCAGTTACACTAGCTACCTACATTTCAAGTGTGTAGTAAATAAAAAAAAATTTTTTTTTTAAGTGTGTAGTAACCACGTATGGCCAGTGGCAACAGGATCAGATGACACCAATATATCATATTTCCATTACTCCTGTATGTTCTACTGGACAAAACTGCTCTAAGCACTTGGGATATAACAATTAAAACATGAAAATCCCTGTCATCGTGGAGCTTATAATTTAGTGGGGTGACAGAATATAAATGATAAGCATAATAAACATAACTAAACTATGTAATATCTTAAAAGGCACCCACAGTCAATACAATTAAGGGTAGTAGGAGCTAGCATTTAGTTCTGTTTACTAACCGTCAGAAATGCAGCTTACATAGATAATCATGAAGGTCCGATTACTATCACCATTTTACAGTAAGAACGTTGAGACCTCAAGAGCCTAAGTAACTTGTGCAAATTATACAGATAGTGAGCTTCGGAAGTTGGAATTCAAATCTGAACTTTCTGATTGAGAGCCCATAGTCACTTGCCAACACTGAATCCTCTCAACTACCAAACCATTAGTCTTAGACTATCTCTCCTCCAGGCTTTTGTGCAAGAGTGACCCACTCAACTCCACTGAACAGATAACAGATATTTCTATCGGTGCCAGTCTCCAGACTACATGCTTGAAATACAACAGTAAACCAGATGGCCTTAAGTACTCTATAATCTATTGGGAGAGAAAAGCCCTCTGACAGAGAAAGAGAAAGAGAAAGAGAGAAAGGCAGGCATGCAGGCATTGGTCGTATTCAGTCCAATCAACTAGAATCACTTTTGTTCTGATTCTTAATTTTTAAGTGAGTGTTGGCCATTTTGTTAAACACTCTAAGGTTAGTCTCCCTCATCCGCAAAATGGCAGCAATAATGTGTACCTCACAGGGCTGTCAAGTGGATGAAATAAATGAACATATAGAAAGCATTCATTATGGGACCTTAGAACTAACTGGTCCTTGAGGTTTCCACGCCTTTCTTCAGCATGTTAAAAATTATAAAAGACAATGGGATGTAGGTAGTGAAATCAGATCCAGAGCAGGGTTTACAGCAAAAAAATTACTGGACTTTCCATCATTTAACAAAATGAAATGAATCCTATTGCTTGTAACTCTAGCCACTACTAGTAGCAGAAGACAGGTGCTTAATGAAGGCTGGGTTTATATTTTTTGAACCCTAAACTCCAGAAGTGTAGGACCAGACAAAGGCCTTTTATTCTGATTTGGTCACTTATTTATGGTAAGAGTCTAATAAAGTTATGTAAATTAAAACAAAGCAAGGTGTGTATTTAATAAGCCAACACGTAGCAAAAAGAATAAAATGCCAAAACTAACAGGTATCTCAGAAGATCCAGGTCAACATCTCGAAGAACACTTCACACTTAACTTTGAACACAAGATATTGTGGTGGTGAGTTTGAATTCATGTTAACAAACTCTTTTGCAGGCACTTGAGTGGCTCAGTTGGTTAAGCGTCTGCCTTCAGCCCAGTTCATGATCCCAGAGTCCTGGGATCCAGCCCTACATCAGGCTCCTTGCTCAGCAGGAAGCCTGCTTCTCCCTCTCCCTCTGCAGCTCCCCCCTGCTTGTGCGCTCGCGCTCTCTCTCTCTCTCTCTCTGTCAAATAAATAAGTAAATCTTAAAACAAAACAAAACAAACAAACAAAAAACCCTTTGCAGATTGTTATAATCACATGAGCATGCACATTGCAGAGCACTGCAGATTTTGAGGACATGATCCACGAGCACTGAGTGAAAACGAATGCAGGTCAAGGTTCCGTCTTAGTGGTCCTAGTGGACAAGTGTTTGTGTTCACACATGTATCAGTGGAAAGAAGAGCATTCTGTAAGGGCCAGCACATGACAAACCTAAAACATTTCTTACACGGTTTTTTACCACAGAAACCTTTCTTTGTCCCCCACAATCTAGCCAATGAAAGAAAGTGGCTTAATACTCTTCATATGACACACAACCCGCAGTTGAACTTTCATTTCTCCCAAATGAGTTTTGGATTTCTTTTATTGCCTTTCCTTTTTTAGTTCCTAACACAAACAGTGATCCCCTTTAATACTGCTCAGGATGGCCATGACATTTCAAGAAGAGAGGGGGAAAAAAGCCCTCTTTGATCATTCAGGACTCCAAAAGCCTCTGGGCTTTGGGCAGTTGTCTTATGATCCCTTGCAGGAACTAATCAGATGAAAGGCAAAGTCATGGGTTATTCAATAATCTACTTGTCCAGAGTTCTCATAGTAGAGTAAGGAGGTCCTCAAGAAGAAAGATTTTTATAGTTCCAATACATGGCAAAAGGTCGTTTTGAAGACCATGCAAAAAAGCAATGTATAGGCTTAACACCTTCATAGGAATTCAAAAAGGACAATCTGTGTGTTTGTGTGTGTGTGTCTGTGTGTGTGTGAGTTTGTGAGGGTAAATGTGCCAGATCAGGAACATGGGGGAAAAAAGTGATCTTTGTAAATTGAGGTCACTGAGCCCGCAGACTTGAAAAGTTTGTATTTCCGGGGTTCCGGCAAGAGGTCATGTTCAGACAAAGGCATTTCCAGTGCTCACATTTTATCCTTCCTTTGTCAGCTGATAGCTCTCTCTCTGCTGCTTCTTATGAAAAGAATGAGAATCATGTGACTTTTCATGAGTGCCTACGTATGGGCAACATAGAGACCTGGTGAATTTATCACAGGTAATTTACTTAAAACAAACAAACAACAAAAAAACACAGTTCAAAAACTTCCAGTGGGGTTAGAGCACTCGTTCAACGTACATTTACTGAATAGCTAATATGGCCCAGGCTCTGTGTTTTCTGCTGCAAATACAGTTTTTTGCCCTTGAGGAACTTCTAAACTAAGACATGTCCTATTGGATGCCTGCTCTGAAAATGACCCAATTCACCATGTAGGCTCCCTCCCATTTCCCCTGGAATTCTACACACACATCCATGGCCATGTCAATGTGACTCATGATTCAGTGTCCAGCTCCCAGACAAGTTCAATGACAAAGCAACGAACTGAATCACAAGAGTTAACACGGTGGCTGCAGCGATCATTTGGACAATCTTACTGCAGAAGGCAATAAATTGAATGGGTCTTAGTCTTAATTACTGGTTACCAGTGCAGCCTTAGACAAATGCATTTCTCTCTTTGAGACTCAGTTTTCTCACCTGTAAAATGAATTTGTTCTAGCTGACCTCTAAGGTCCCTGCCTGCTTTCCTGCTTCTAGAGTTAAAATATTCCTAGTAAATCAATGCTTGGCTTCTATCCCAACAGCCTTCAGTGGTCCATTTGGTGTCACAGACTTGGCTAAAAATACACACAGGTAACAGAGTCATAATGTGTATTTAATGGTATTTTCTCTTGGTAATTAATACTCTAGAGATATTCTCAGTGGGCACAGCCAAGCCAGGAATCTTCTACATAGACATAGAAACAATGGGAGGAAGCAACCTGGATGTTCTATTCATCTGGGCACATTCTTTTTGCCACTCCACCACTAACCTACTGGCTCTGTGAGTTCAGATTAGCGACTCCACCATTCTGAGCCTGTTTTCCTCATTGCTAAAATAGTGGTTTGCATACCTGAAACTAAATTCATTACTGCCTCCGGCAACCCTTCCAATCACCCTCCACGGATGTAGGCCTCCAGCTCTCCACTTGCTACGTCCCAGTGTTCCCTCCAGTGTTCAGCATCACTAGTCACACTGCCCCCCTGAGAGCTACCTTCAAGCCATCTTCTGACTCTTTCCTCACCCCTCTGCCTAAAGGGTCTCCAACACTCTACCAATGCTTCTGTTTTAGAAGCAGGTCCGGATCATCACCCCCCCTCCACCATCAGCACTGCTAATGCTCCCATTTAAGCCCTCCCCTGGAGCCCTGACAGCTCCCCAAGGAGGCTCTCAGCATCTCAGCTCTCATCGCTCCTGCTCTCCCTCAAAATAAAGACAAACACAGGTCTTCAGACATTTTGGCAGTGTAAGAGATCACCAGATGGGCATCCACTGGAAGGAAATGAAAACACTATCTTCAAGAGCTATCTGCACCCCCAGGTTCACTGCAGCATTGTTCATAAGGACTGAGACATGGAAACCTCTTAAGTGTCCCTCAGTGAAGGAATAAAAAAAGAAATGTGGTATACACATGCAGCGGGATATTATCAGCATGGAAAGGAAGGAAATCCTGCCTTTTGCAACAACATGGGCAAAAGCAATGAGAGCATTATACTAGGGGAAATAAGTCAGAGAAATAAAATACTGTAATGATCTTACTTATATGGGGAATCCAAAAAAGCCAGACTGGTAGGGGCACCTGGGCGGCTCCGTTGTTTAAGCACCTTTTTCTTGATTTCAGCTCAGGTCAGAAGATTGGCTCCGCGATGGGCATGGAGCCTGCTTGGGATTCTCGCTCTCCCTCTCCCTCTACCCCTCCTCGCCCACCCCCCATCACTCATGTGCTCTCTCTGTCTCTTTCTCTCTAAAAAAAAAAAAGAAGCCAAACTCATAGAACAGAGAGTAGACAGGTGGTTGCCAAGACAGGGAGTAGAAGATATAGGGAGATGTTGGCTAAAGGGTATAAGCTTCCAGTTATAAGATAAATAAGTTCTGGAGATCTAATGTACAGTATGGTGATTATAGTTAA